GTGCATGCCTATAATCTCAGCAGCTCAGGAGGCTGTGGCAAGAGGATCATGAGTTTAAAGCTAGCCTTAGTAAAAGTGACATACTAAGAAATTTGGTGAGACTCTGTCTCTAAATAAAATACAATAGGGCTGGGGATGTGGCTCAGTGGTTGAATGCCCCGGGTTCAATTCCCAGTACTAAATAAATAAATAAGTAAGCAAATAAATAAAGAGAATGTAAAATATGAAGTTATAACAGTTAAAAGAAAATTTAGATATAAAATAAGGCAGGGATAAAAATATACTGATACTTTTCATTAACAACACATACACTCTCCTCTAATGTGTACTGAGTCCACAAGATCTTCTGCACCAACTATTCTACACGTTTATTCAATAACCCAAGTCCTTGTGCTTTTATTTACCCCTCCATAATTGCTCCCTGCAACTCATCATTTCTCACTATTTCCGTGGGAAATCTGCCTTTGGAGGTTAAGAGTTAACACAGAAAAGCACTTAATATCTGGGCTTTAGAAATGCTCAACAAATGTTAGATCTTATAAATATTATCATCTCCTTCAATCAATCCTCAAAACTGCCTTGTGAGGATATACTGTTTTTGTCTCCAGCCATCATGTCTGGCCAGACCTTTTTATTTTGAGAGAGGGTCTTGCTAAGTTATTGAGGTTGGCCTAGAACTTGTGATCTATGATCTACCTCAGCTGGGTGCTGGGATTATAGGCATGTACCACTGTGCCTGGCTCATTTTATCCATGAGTGTATAGTGAAGTTTTCCAGAGGCTGGCTATAAGATGCATAATATTCTAATAGACTGCAGAAGCATATATGAGAATCTACCTATCTTCTATAAAGCCACATATTAAAAGGGATTTGCAAAACTGGAAAACAATGTCACTCTTCTCTCTGAAATAGTTTTGTTTTTGGAAACACGTTTTTTAACATTAAAAACACATTAGTTATTTTACTATGTAATAGTCTTATTGCTATTTTAAATTGAATTAATATATATATTTTAAAATCTTCGCAGTGTTAATTTTTAAATGGCTAATATTGATAGATAAAGCCCATACAACAAATGCTCCTTGGAGTTCTCATTAAGAGTATGAAAATGTGGGATTAGTTCCTCATTTTATAATCTATGATTCTATAGTATTTGAGTGCTAGGTATAGAACTTCCAATTATTCACATGTAACAATAAAATAGTGGTCTGAATGGGTTAATTTATCTCTTATTACCATCTAAAGCAGATATAACCTAAAAATTTAATCATTTAAAACATTACCTTTTACCAAATATAGAGACTTTTCTTTCAGATGCAGGTTTATTTATACTCAACTTTCCAAAGGCTGGTTTCTCTTTGCTTTAAGAAAAACAGAAAACAACACTTTAAAATAAATACAAGAAATAATCAGCTCAAGAAACTTTTGGAAATATGTTGGAATAAATACTTCCTCCCTATTACCTATAAAATTATTCAGAATCATGAAAAATTTTAGCAGTAACCACACCTGTTATGATAGGGATAGGCTAAAAGTATAAATTATAGTACTAAAATATTAAGAAGCAGAACAAAAATCTTATCTACATTATGATTTTATCTTAAAATATGTACATTTACAGATAACAACCTTACAGAAAAAGGCAAAATGTACAAATAGATATATTCAATCACAGGACGATAGTTACTTTTGAGGCTTTTTTCTGTTAAAGCTCACTGTTAGAATGTAGTTGTGCTTCGTATACAATATTTGAATTACAGACAAAAAACATTGATGATGGTAACCTTTTTTTTTTTAATATTTATTTATTTTTTTTAGTTTTCAGCGGGTACAACATCTTTGTATGTGGTGCTGAGGATCAAACCCGGGCCACACGCATGCCAGGCGAGCGTGCTATCGCTTGAGCCACATCCCTAGGCCAATGGTAACCTTTTCACACCAAATACAATTCAATACCTAAAATCTTTTGGTGTAATGTACAACAAAGTATTCTGTTAAAGTATTTAGAAGGAAAATAAATATTTCACATTTCTAAAAGTACAGAAACTCACAGTACGTTAAACCTAAATAATTTAAGAACAGCCCGCAAGTAACTTGTACCTAAGTATTAGAGAAGAATTGATACAGCTCTACAGTGGCTTATAGTGTTCTTCTGTCAACTGCCAGAACATCAATTATAGAGGAAAAAAATACAGTTTATATAGCAAGTTCATTTGGGCACTGTTTTCCCTGTGAGTCTTTGAAAAAGTGTCGTTCTGTAGGTTGCTATTACGTTTTAGCTTATCATCAGAGCAAATAACATTGCTTTGATTTGATGAAGAACTTTGGTAGTTGGAAACATCTCGGTAAATTTAAAGTCACAGCACAGGACCTGCTTAAACAAGAAGCTATATAATAAAAGAAGATCCCACCATTATGTACAACTATAATGTGCTAAGAGCCACAGCCAAGTAAAAATGATGCATGCCATTTTTGATTATAAGGTGATGCCAGCAAGCCACTGAGATGATATGATTATGTTAAGATCTGCATTCAAATGGATATTAGACCCCTGCTGTCCACCTGGGCCTGCTACTTTGGAGCTCTAGTGGGACTCCCAAAGAGTTCCCGTTGGTTGGGAAAGTGCAGTAGGAGGGAATTCCGGAGGAGGGATTTCCTGTTTGGAGTAGTGTGGCCCGAGAGAACGTCCTGTGTGGGTCAGCATATTTCCTGGGATCATACAGGGCATTGGCGGGAATTTCAAAATAAAGTTTGTTCCTGTTTGAGTGGCTCGTGATTTTGTGCCCAGCAAGACTGCGGCAATAATTTACCAATTAAAAATATGAAAACAATTATAAAAGAGGATTTGGGAATTTAAGAAACACCGGTATCAGGCCTAGTGCCTAATATTGTTGATCCCAAATATTGATACAATATCCCAATATTGTATCACTGGGAACAGATAGGATTCACTAACACATTACACAGACTACATCTTTATATTAACCATTTTATAATTTCTTTGCCTAAGACAAAAAAACAAAAAAAAAAACCAAAAACACAAAAAACACAGATTAGAACCACAGATGGCAGCACTTACGTTTGAGGAGTATGAAGGCCTTGTTTATTCATGTCCTGAGATCTTAACTCTTGCATAGAGAGGCGGCCGGCACCACCGGTGGAAAATGAACTGCGCTTCATGCTTATGAACTACATTCATGAATTCAGTATTAGAAAAATGTTCCAGATTTAGAACAAAAGTAGACTAGGCAATAACTAATATCTTTATCCTCAAATATAAAAGCAACTAGGTTCATCTTCAAGATAATCTTTCCCCTTCTTGTTCCTGTACACCGAGGTCTGCAAAGAATACCTATTTAAATTCATTTTAAAATATTCTACACACAATTTACTAACTACCCTTCCATGCACAAGGGAGTGTGTCAGGTAACATAGGAAATACAAAGAATAATATCTGATCCCTGCCTTCACAAGAATATCCATGGTAGCAAAATTCCTGAAAATTAACCTTGACCACTCATTGTTGTTGGCAAGTCAGAGGCTGTCTACTAAGAACCACCTCAATTTCCCTTCTTCCCCTCAAGACGTTTCCTTACTTTTGTTTCAAAGAATGGAGTTATTGTATTTTCTTTTCCCAAAGTCAATATTTCCTGTTTTTATGCTTATATGGTTTCACAGTTTATAATCAATCACTGTCCTTCTGATTCCTATGTTCCCTTCAAAAAGGATAAGTCATCTATCCACAACATGGTCTATAAGCTGCTTCCATTTTCAAAACACATTAGCATCTCATTGTTTTTACATCTAAAAGATTTTCCCCTTAGATATTCAGGATTGACAATATTGTATCCTATCTGAATTCTGCAGCATTAGACACTACCTCCTTAGCCTTCTCAGATCCTGCCCTGGCATCCAAGAAATTGTACGTTCGTGGTCATCCTATTACTTTTCTGGGCCCATATTCCTCTTTTATACTGATTACACTCTTTCTTTCTTGATTTTGGCTACTTACTTCTTCTCCTTCCACGTACACTTGTTCTATCTATCCCATTTTCCCGCTCTCCTCTATGTCTACTCCAAATCTCCACTTAAAACGTACTCTCAAGATTTAAGATTAAGACTTGGAGATTTCCTCCTTACACAGCCATTAAGATGCTACAATACCCACAACAACAGTTCCTCTCGTGTCCTTCTCTTCCCACCCTCTTCTCTGGCTCCAGTCTCTATTCTCTACAGAGTCCCCTAGTTTCTTCCCTCCTTCCCGGAAAGATCGTTGCTAGTTTAAATTTATTGGACTCAGATTCGGCCCTAGGCCTCTCCCGGCAAACACTTAACAGATTGCCCCTTTCTATCACTTTCTCCCTCCAGAATAGTTTTGCACTAACAAAGAACTGAATGTTATTAGTTACCTTTCTTCCAGTTTCCTGACAAGGCTCAGCGGACGAATGGACGAATCTCTGTATTTTGTGTAATTACTCTTCGCTACATACTAAGAAGCCGCCAAAACAAGAGCTTCTGCCTCCGACCGCCCAGACAGTTTGAATTTTAAAAATCTCCGCCGGGGTTGACGTCATCACGCTTACGTAACGCGTAACGCAATTCGTAGGCGCCGCTCTTGGTCGCGGGAACTCTACGTGTTGATGGCGCCTCTCCGCCTCGCGGGCACTCTGAAGCTTCCTCTACCAGGTCTGGATTGACCTTCAAGGTTAGCTCTAAAGACCCAAGGTCCAGTGCCACCAAGGAATAGGCTGAGTGCTCTGGGGCGCTGTGGAAATGTTTTCCGTACAGCAACATGGCGGCTCCCATTAAGTCTTAGAATTTTTTTTTTTTTCTCTTTCCCCTGAAGGATGTGGCTTTCAGACCGCTATTTAGATGCGCGGTGTCTCCATGACAGTCTGGGAAGGCGGCGGGCACTTTTCTGAAAAATGAATGGTGAAGCAGGACGTAGTGGCTGCCGAATGTGGGTGCACTCGGCTCCAGGGATCGTACTGGTGTGGCTGCCTCCAGGATTCTGGCTGGAGATTTGACTGCTCGCCACCGTCTCGCGGTCCTCTAGTGGTGGGTGGCATGTTAGAAGCAGAAGAATCCTGGGAACAGGGGGGTGACCGGTTGAGACGGGTGGATGTGAATCAGAGATGTAGCAGAAGGGCAACAAAAAATACCGTGGATTACCTTGATAAAATAAGACATCCTCGTTTCCCTGAGTTTAAACCCAAAGATTGGTATTGCCCAATAACTGGAAAGTGGTGGGAAATCTCCGAGCGAAACTTTGGATAGCCGGGTCTTGTAGTAATTGTATCGTTAACTAGCATGTGATTTTGGGGCATAGAGCCTGTTTTGTCCGAGTTTCAGTTTTCTCATCTAAATTTCTAGATCTTACTAGCAACGATCTCCTTTCTCACACTTGGTGACTATCAAGGGAGAACCAAGGATCGAAAGGATCCCTATCGCCAATACTATCAGTTAGTATTTATGTAAGCTGTATGTCAGGCTTTGTGCACAGCATTTCATATAGATTATCTCATTTAATTATATAAGCTGAGACATTATAAAAATGATAACTTTGAGGCTCAGTGAGATCAAGTAATTCCCTTTGTTAGAAATTTGAATCTAAATGCTATTGTTGGCTGTACTGTTAACTGCTTATTTCTTATTCCGTGCCCTTTTAAGTTCTCTATTACATTTGATTTATAAAGTTATACCCAGAACTATAAACTCTCAAAAAAAAAAAAAGGAAGTTCTGTAAAACCTAGTTACTGGAGGGGAGGGGCTCAGGCTGATAACAAATCTGACCTTCAGCCTTGCAGTTTTGCTAGGATTTAGTGCTTTTTTTGTGCTGTTAAAATTGCATTTGTTTTGACTAGATCAATCTTTTAACCCTATTACTCCATTGATACAGTAGTTAAATAGGGCAATGATACTGGGAGAATGGGCTGATTTACTGTGGCAAATGTAGTTTGAACAAAATGGGCTGACCTACTAACAACTCTTTGAAATTCTGTGACCCTCCTCAAGTAGTTATCTCATTAAAAAAGAATGTATTTACTTAGGTAACTAGTATTCTTTCATTTAACAGTGTACTTTCGTCTTTTAAGGAATTCAGTGACTTCCTTACATGTGGACATTTTGGCTAGATTCAAGGACCAAGCAAGAAAATTGTGTAAGGCACAGGAAGAAGGAAGATCAAATTGGAATTCCAGATAACATCAAGTTAAAACCTCTTTGGCCAAGCTGGCTGAAAAATTTGAATGATCAGCTCTGAAATTAAAAGATTTTATTAAACCATTGCATTTTTTCTTAAGAGCTGCTATATGTTTTAACATATCATGAATGCTTAAATTCGTTTTTAATGTACGTGTCCAGTTTGTAGACTTGCATATCAGGTCTGTGTATATGAAGTTTATATTTATTGAAGTATAGGATATTTAAGAAGTTGATCTTCAAAGTTTTATTTTACTTTTAATTACTAATTTCCAAACTTTTTAAAAGAAAAGAATGTCTGTGGTACACCAGTTGTTACCTGGGTGGTTATTGGATCATCTTTCTTTCATTAACAAGATAAATTATCAACTTTACCAGCATCCTAAGCCTTGTTGCAATAAAAATGAGTCTGCTTCTTCAGTTCACTTGGATTGTCTTCAAAAGGATTCTGCATCTTCTTTTGGAGCCTCTGCTACACTTATTGCTCCTGACTCTATCACTAAGCCAGAAAATGAGGATTCAAGAAATTGTGAACTTCCCCCCCAAAAATATGTTTTTAGATCTGAACTATTTAATGTCACCAAACCTTATATAACTCCAGCTGTTCACAATAAATGTCAACAAAGTAATGAAAAAGAAGATCTATTGAATGGTGTTAAAAAGGAAATCTCCAGTTCTATTATTGGAAAGGTAGAGTTTTAAGAAATCTTTATTTTTCTACAGAAAACCCCAATTTTTTATTTTAGTATCTCAAATACCTGTGATTTATTAGGTATAAGGAAGAATCAACAAAGCATAAACAAGGATTTAGCATATCCTAATTTTTAACTTTCCTAACATTCTACCACTCTAGAAGACCAAATTGCACATTTCAAAAGTAACCAAAATTGTCTTGAAAGTGAGTGTTCTATACATGAATGCTCTGTAAACGGTAAGCTATGGGAATACATTCATTACTCACCCAACAAATGTTTGAGCTTTTTCTATGTGCTATTGTATATAGTGTGGTAAAACAAGAAAAACAGTCCATGCCCTCTTATACCTTATAATTTCCTAGAAAAGAATGAAATAGGAAAGCATGATGAAAATTAGAATAAGGGAAGTAATAAATATAACTTATTACATTATTATAGGTACCTGAAGTAGAATTTTTGTTATTATGATTTTTTAAAAACATTCTCTTTCCTTTCAACAAATTTGTATTGATCGTCTGTGTCAGACACAGAAAAGGAAATATATACTATTGTCAGATCTCAGTACAGTAGGAATGTGAGTAATATATCTACTTTTACTAATTCAGACAAATGAACATTTATGAGCTACTTTGCAGTTTAGAATAAAGACATTACTTTGTAATTTTTAGTCTTTTATGTGGGGCATGTTCCTCATTTACTATGGAAGATATAGATGATCATATGTAATGAATGTTATCAAGACCAGAAATAATGTATGCTAAAGCAAATTATATAATATGTACATATTATATAATTATGTGAAAATATGTTTATATATTAAAATATATAATAATATAAAAGCAAATTTTATAAAATGTATAATATATAAACTTTTTAAAGTCCATTTATTTATTCAGGTAACAAACATTTGTTTGCCTTCCAGGAGTTTGGCACCATGTAAGCACTAGGGTTTTAGCAGTAAAAGTAGACTTTGCTCTGTGTTGCATGATCTTACGTGTTCTTTTCTACGGAGTGTTAGATATACAATGGTGTAAATATATTTGATTTGTACCTAACTCTCTGATTAATCATAAAGAACTATTAAAAGGTCAGTGGAGAGTAGGGCTTCCTACAGTAACCAGCTACTTGGGATGCTAAGATAGGAGAATCACTTGACCCTAGGAGTTTGAGACCAGCTTGATCAACATTGTGAGACCTTATCTCAAAAAGAAAAAAGTACAGTGAAACAGTATAATTTCCTTTGATGACAGTACATGGATAGTGCCTCTCAGAAATGAAGACAGTTGAGAATAATTATTATGTATTATGTATCATATGTATTAACTGATAGATCATACTGATAATTGTTCATGCTGAATCATACTTCTGTTTCATGGTTGCTGGAATTATGCTCTTATGTGGAACTAGGTCTTATTAATGGCAGATAAGACTGCTGTGACATTTTACACACACACACACACACCCCACCCCCACTCCGTTTTTTTTTTTGTTAAACTTTGGGGAAGCTTACCTCCTTAGTTTGTACCCCTTTGCATTGATTTTGACCTCAATAGAATTTATTTCCTCTTGAAGACTGAGATATACAAATATACAATATAGAGCGTGATAAAGAGAAAAGATATTTCTCTTTAAATAAAAAATATTTTAAAATATCAATATTGTAATAGATAGCAAATAACTTTGTAATTTATCTGCTTTTCAGAAGCGTAAAAGATGTGTTGTTTTCAATCAAGGTGAATTGGATGCTATGGAATACCATACAAAGGTAGGTATGAAATGTTCATTGATTACATGGGAAGATTAATATGAAATAATATAAAATAAATGGGTTACATAAAGAAGGATGTTCTTAAAAATTGTTTTGATCAGAGTTAGAAGTAAATAGTGTTTTATTATTACTTTTTTAGTGTAAAATGGTTTAAATCAGTTTTTATCGATACTTCATATGCTTCTATTACTTTAACCATGTAAACTTATGTAAACTTGTGCTATTTTAGAAATTATAAAGGCATAGGAAAAAAATATACTGATGTAGTGGCAGAAGAAAGCATGAGTAATGTGAAGGGTATATTTCTCGAATTTAAACAATGCTGGGCTGGGGTTGTGGCTCAGTGGTAGAGCACTTGCCTAGCATGTGTGAGGAACTGGATTCGATCCTCTTTACCACATAAAAATAAATAAATAAAATAAAGATATTGTGTTCATCTGCAACTAAAAAAAAAATTTTAAAAAGTGCATAAATATTTTATACTTGACTCGGGAGTGCCTTTAACTGAAATTGAAAAACGGGTTGAAATTCAGCTTGGGAGGGATCATAATTCCAGTTTTGTACATGTTGAATTAATGTTGATGGTAGGACACTGTATTTTTCTCTTTTTGATTGTGAAAGAATATATCAAAAATAAAATTTACAAGTTCAGATCTCCAAAGCACAGTGGGCATTTCATTGTTTAGAAAATTATTTTAGGGCTGGGTTGAGCTGGTGGGTGGTAGAACATTTTCGGCATGCTTGTGTTTGATCTCTAGCACCACACAAACAAAAAATAATAATGTTGGGCTGGGGATGTGGCTCAAGCAATAGTGCACTCACCTGGCATGCATGCTGCCCAGGTTCAATCCTCAGCACCACATACAAACAAAGATGTTGTGTCCGCCGATAACTAAAAAAAAATAAATACTAAAATTCTCTCTCTCTCTCTCTTAAAAAAAATAATAATAATGTCAGTGTCCTTTTAATGTAATTTAAACAAATTCTCTTACAGATCAGAGAGCTGATTTTGGATGGATCTTTAAAATTAATCCAAGAAGGTCTCAAAAGTGGTTTTCTGTATCCACTATTTGAAAACCAGGACAAATGTAATGAACCCATTACTTTACCACTTGATACCTGCAATTTGTCAGGATTATGTGAAATGGCAAAGCATTTACCTTCTATGAATGAAATGGAACTTCAGACATTACAATTGAGAGAAGATGATATGACTGTTACAGAGCAGGATTTATTTTCACGGGTTGTTGAAAATAACTCTAGTTTTACAAAAATGATTACTTTAATGGGACAGAAATACCTCTTGCCACCAAAGTGCAGTTTTCTTTTATCTGACATTTCTTGTATACAACCACTTCTGAACTGTAAGTAACTATTGTGTTTATTATTAGAAAAAGATAATTTTTCTGTGACCTCAGAAGTTAAAAGCTATCTGAATTTTGAACAAGGGCCTACATTATGATGATAGGGTAAACACCTTTCCCAGTATAATTTTTCTTTGAAATTGAATTTACACAGATGTGGTAGTACATGCCTGTAATCCCATCTACTTGGAAGACTGAGGCAGGATGATTCCAAGTTCAAGTCTAGGCTCAGCAATTTAGTGAGATTCTATTCCAAAATAAAAAACAAAAAATTCTGGGGGTGAGGCTCAGTGGTAGATTGCCCCTGAGTTCTATTCCTAATATCACAAAGTCAATTTTAATGTGCTGATTTTTGCTTTTTCTTTTAAATTTATATTCTTATTATGACCAAAGGGTCAGAAACTATCCCTAAGAGAGCAAATATAATTAGTTTTCAGTACTTAGGAATCCAGAATACAGTTGTATTTAATTATATTACTTTCTTTAATATTTCTTCACAGCTAAATAGAAATGCTTCAGTTATGAATAATTCCCAGATCATTCCTAGTCTTTTAGGCTAAGCTAATGTTCAAGTGTATATCTAAAATTTATTGAGACATTTTCCTGTACAAAGCTAAAAAATTTAAATATGGAATTCCATAGTCACAGAGACATGTATTTGAATAGATTCTGAATTTTAGCTGAGTCATTGGGCTATTCACTTCATAAAGCTTAATTTCCTAATCTATAAATTGGGTATAGTACTTACTTATGAGGGTCATTTTGAGTATTAAATGAAATAATCTGTATCATATTCTTAGTTCAATGTTTTTAGTAAGTTGTAACTTTTAATCGGATAAAGGCGGTACATAAGAGGTATATTGATTAAATTGAATTTAATCATGTGTTTATTGTTACGTTGATGTTTTATAGCAGGATTTTAAGTTATCAAGCAACTCCAACATAGTTTATTAATGAAAAGTTTCTTTTAATTGCTCTCCGGCCATCTTACTTGAAAGTGGTTATCTATTAGCAGTGACATAAATTCTTTAAGAGTAAATGACAAGTTAACAAATTAATGAGAAAATCATGCTACTTTGAACATTTTTTCCCATTCTTTTTTAGTCTTTGTTACTCTAATATTTATTGTAAATGTACCCTTTTATTACTTATGAGATTTTAGGTTTACAAAAATATATTTATAAAAGGGGGAAAAGAGAGCGTTCCTCCCTACGGTAAAATTACAGTTAATTAATGTGGATTGAATGCTGGAACTAGAAATTTCTATTTGACAAATACCATAATAATAATTGGATGTCAAGAGAATGGGTGAAAAGATGAAGCACAGGATGTTTTCATGATCTTAAAGTATGTCCCCACAAGATACTTGTCTATTACAAGGGAAAAACTGGAGAAGTCTGGCAATAATACTTTAATCCAGTTATGTAAAGTAATATCGGTAAGCCATTTTCACATCCTATAACACATATTTTTCTGATAAGGTGCTGAGGCATTACTTTGATGGTACTCTTGTTGAATATAAATAACCTAAATTTAATTATGAGGAAATACCAAACCCAAATTGAGGGACATTCTATAAAATTCTATAAAATAACTGGCCTCTATCCTTTAAAAATTTCAAAGTCATAAAAGACTTAAGAAAGAATTTTGCTGGATTGGAGGATATTTAGGAGACATGGTAATTTAATTTTGATTTTGGACAAGGAAAAAAAAATTAGTAGATAAATGGGAAAATTTTACTATGATTAGTATAGCAAATATAAGACTGAAATTTCAAAATAAAAAATTAAAAAATGTAAAGTAAAAAAAAGTCACCTTAATTTGAAAGGAACATATTCATGTGGTTGCTAAAATTTATGGGGAATTTACAAATTATTAGCATCCAGCTTAGTGAGCTGTAGTCATCTGTAGGTAGTGTCTGTAAAAAGTGGAAGTGAGATAGGTGTGGTGTTGCGTGCCTATAATACCAGCAACTTTGGAGGCTGAAGTAAGAGGATCCTAAGTTCAAGGTCAGTCTGAGCAACTTAGTGAGAACCTTGTTTCAAAAATAAGTAAGTATGGGCTGAAGTTGTGGCTCAGCTTTAGAGTGCTCGCCTAGCATGTGCAAGGCCCTGGGTTTGATGCTCAGCACCACATAAAAATAAATAAAATAAAGGTATTGTGTCCAACTACAATTAAAAAAGAAATGTTTAAAAAAATAAGTAAAGGGCTGGGGATGTGGCTCAAGCGGTAGCGCGCTCGCCTGGCGTGCCTGCAGCCTGGGTTTGATCCTCAGCACCACATACAAATAAAGATACTGTGTCTGCCGAAAACTAAAAAATAAATATTAAAAAAAAATAAGTAAAAAAGGGAGGTATAGCTCAGTGGTATAGCACCCATGGGTTTAATCCCCAGTACTGCAAAAACAAAATAGTTAGTAGTGGGAGAAATTATATTAAAATCTGAGATCCTAAATTATAAGGGGAATACTAATTTTTAAAGATAAATTAGTATATTTGAATAAATACTATAAAACTTTTTTTGCATTCTGTCATATTTGTGTTATTAATGAAAGTACATTGTTAGTTTTTATTTTTTTTGGTTATTGGAAATGAACCCAGGGCCTCATATATGCTTAATTATGTCTTCTTTCACTGAGCTGCATCTTTAAAGTACTCATATACAGAGGGTTCTGAAATTGTCTTTGATTTCAGGTAGGAAAACATTCGATGTAATTGTGATAGATCCACCATGGCAGAATAAATCAGTTAAAAGAAGTAATAGGTAAGTGGAAATGAATTATCTACTAGATATGCTTCCTAAAAACTATAGTCCTGGGGTAGAGTTGTGGCTCAGTGGTAGAGCACTCACTTAGCACAAGTGAGGTCCTGGGTTTGATCCTCAGCATCACATAAAATAAATAAACAAATAAAGGTATTGTGACCAACTATAACTAAAAAATAAATATTAAAAAAAAAACTGTATGGGCTGGGTTGTGGCTTAGCGGTAGATCGCTTGCCTCGAATGTGTGAGACCGTGGGTTCTATCCTCAGCACCACATAAAAATAAATGAACAAAATAAAGATATTGTGTCCATGTATAACTAAAAAAAATATTAAAAAACTATAGTCCTTTTTACATTCTAATTTAATATACTATAAACATTATGATTCAGGTTACCTGTAACTACTAAAATGCGTTAAGTAATTTTTAAGTTTTAATTCCTTAATTAGATGATTCTCTTGAACTGCACTGGAATGTTAAGAGTAATGTATTTTGCTGGGTGTGGTGGTGCATACCTGAAATCCCAGTCACTCAGAGACTGAGGGAGGAGGATAGTAAGGTCAAGACCAGCCTCAACAATTTAGCAAGATCCTAAACAACTTAGTGAGACTCTATTTCAAAATAAAAAATAAAAGGGGTTGGGGATGTGGCTCAGTGGCAAAATGCCCCTGGATTCAATCCCTGGTACCAAGAGACAAAACAAACAAACAAAAAATATATATAATTTTTACTTGTTATAAGGCTACTGCCTAAACCATTTCAGGATTATTTCTATAACCCTGGGCAGTATTGTCAAAGGACAAAAACTTTGCCTTCTTTTGTATCTGATTCTAAAATTTAGAAATATGTGCATAATATTTCCAATTTTCCTCAATAACCTGCTATGAATGAATTTTTCTTATTGATTCTTATATTTGTTTATATTTTTAATTTAATTTATGATGTATTTTTAGTTTTTGTTTCTCTTGTGATGGTAAGTTCAGTTAGTTACTAAGACAAGCTTTCCTTTTAGTAGTGTTTTAAAAGCTTTTAAGAATTTTTCCCTTTAGTTCTAGTGAATGTATTCACTTGTGTTTCCTCCTACTCTTCAGTTTCTTGATTAAACAATTCCTAGTTTGACTTAAATTTTATCTGAAATTTCTTATTCTCCATAGTTATCTGCCCTTCCTTATGCTTTTTGTTTATGAACTGTGTGAACAGGATATTTTTCTTTTAAAGGTGCTAGACAAAGGGCTGGAGTTGTGGCTCAGTGCTAGAGCGCTTGCCTTAGCCCTGGATTCAATCCTCAGCACCACATAAAAATAAATAAATAAAATAAAGGTATTGTGTCCATCTACAACTAAAAAAAAAAAAAAAAAGATGCAAGGCAAAGAATTTTTGTGACTTTTTATTTTAGAACTATTGATCGATTATTCCTGACATTGTATAGTTGCCTTGCATTAGAGCTAGATTCCAATGTTCATTGCATTTGCAGTTGGGAGGCCAGTTAGCTTTTTTCAGAGCAGAAAAAGCAGTAGAAGCCTTATTGGAGCTGACTGAGGAGTAAAAGGAGGAAGAGTGGAAAGACTAAGTGAAAATCGGTTTTTAGCTTAAACAGGAGATTGAATTAAGGGAATTTCTTTTTTCTTTACTCCATCCTTCCTTTCCCACTTCCCCCCTTCTCTTTCCTTTGCTTTTCTTCCTCTCTTTGGCTTCCCTCTTCTCTCTGCTTTCTTCTTTTTAAATTGAATAATATAAGCATATTTATAGATTAGTAGTAAAGAACTAGTAGAGAGATTGAAATACAGAAGGAGGGGATATCTGGCCTGACAAGATACTAAAATATGGGAATAAGTGAACCCATCTGGAGGGATAAACTTTCATAAGTCAAGTCATTCTATAGAAATAGATAAATAAAGGCATAAAAAGGAAGGGAGAGAGGATTGGGCAGTTGAAGGAACCTAAAGACTTTTATTTTTATTGTTATATGAATTAGCTTCATCTGCCAAGAATAAGTTTTGACAAATCTGAAAAGTGTTGGGGGTCTGGAGTACTTGATGAAGGATAATTAGTAAAATTACGAATAGTTTTGAGAAACTGAGAATTTTAGTGACCCAATTTCTATATTTGTCTTTATATGATTTTCCCTGTATGAAAAAATTGAATTACAAGGAGTTAAGATAGAAGGTTTGCAGGAACTTTGAGGTTGAAGGGTAGAGTGGTTGGGGATGGGAGTTGAGGTTACTAGAGAAAAGTTAAGGAAGTGATTGGTAGTCTGTGGAAGATGAAGTATGGCCAGGAAGAAACTGAAAGGGGAGGAATAGGGCACTGGATTCTTTGATTAAGGTCCAAGAATAGGTAAATGATAGGAGGCAAGAGATTAATGTGATTGGTTTCAGAGATGAAGTAAGTGTCATGGTAAAGTCTAGGTTATTGCATCACAGTAGACTACTGAAGTAGGGTGAATACAATTCTGTTTGTTTAGATAAAGTCTAGTTGAGGCATGTACATGATATGGGCTATGCTCTGAAATTGTCTAGGATAATGTCTTGGTGAGGCAGAAGGATCTCAGAGCTTAAATCATCACTGAATATGGAGAGTGAGGATGAAATGGATTCAGTAAGGAGCATTAGTGTAGCAGAGCTGGATAGCATGTGTCTCAAAGAGAAGGACATTTTATGCTAAGATGGGTGTGATAGGGGCTAGAGGTAGCCATGAATCAGGATACTGATTTTTCCCCTCCTGTTGCATGTGTTGGATGTTACAGAAGGGGGCATATTCACTTGATTGGGTATCATACAGCTAGTAGTGTTCTGTTAATACAAACTAGACTTTCTACTTTTAATGGCAGTAGGTTCCAAGACAATGGATTACTTTTAAAATGAAAGTCTGAGGGCTTCACAGAGCTCAGTGGAATTGATTGGAAAGGAAGAAAGAAACAGGATGATCAATTGGGGGTTGAAAATATAGTGGAAAGGAGATGAGATTGTGTGAGAAGATAGGTGACTTGAGGGGTCAGCATTTTGTGCAGGGCTTTTGGGTTATATTATGTGACTGGAAATGATTAAAAAACAATACAGTCTGGCAATTTTGTCAAAGAAAAATAAAGTCAGTTTTTACTTTTGGGTAATAATATGCCCACCAGGTGGCACTCTGGCTTCATATTTAGCTACACAAATAAATAGCTAGAATAGGCTTGTAATGGGGCCAATGTTATCTAAGTCTTTCCCTGCTCTTCTTTTTTTGCTGTGAATTTTGGTCATATTTTTTCTGTGTATTTTTAGGTACAGTTATTTATCGCCACTGCAAATAAAGCAAATACCTATTCCGAAACTGGCTGCTCCAAATTGCCTTGTTGTTACTTGGGTGACCAACAGACAGAAGCATGTACGTTTTATTAAGGAAGAACTTTATCCTTCTTGGTCTGTGGAGATAATTGCTGAATGGCATTGGGTAAAAGTAAGTTCAGAAGTTAATTTATTTGTTAATATAGTGTGATGTATAGGTCACATAAAAATAATACCTACTTTTTAATGCTTAACATCTCACTGTTGTGCTCCTTCAACAGGATCTAATGAGAACTTATGCTTTGCAACTTGAAAACACCTACATCTGCCTATTCTCAATGCTTTTACCATGTCTTTTTTTGGTGTGTCTTTTTAAAAACTTAATTAATTAATTTTTATTTGTTCTTTTAGAGTCTGTCTTTTTATAGTAGAGTCCCAAACTGTTGGCCTTGAGAAGTCATCAGGGAGATGGCAGAATGAAGTTTAAAAAAAAAAACTATATTGGTAAATTATAATTATACACAATAGTGGGATTCAGTGTTACATATTTTTACATGTGCACAATATAACAATATAATTTGGTCAATTTGCAGAACAAAAAATTTAAAAGCTCTGATATCTCTTGTTTAAAGGACAACAAACAAGAAATTTGGAAGTCTATTACCAAACATAAAGAATGTTACCCTTTTTCTTCTTCCACTTACTTACCCACAATTTTAGTTATGCTTTGTGTCATGTCCCTCTATCCCCTATTCTCTATTGTTTCTGGGTATGAGGGCAGAAAATAGCAAAGATAACCATTATAATGAGAACGAGAGGATCCATAATGAAGAAACTTAAAAGTGAAAACTAAATTTTAACTTAGGTTCTTAGTGTCTTACATACTACTGAGCCTATTTTATTTTGTTTTTTTTAGTACAGGGATTGAATCCAGGAGTGTTTAATCCCTGAGCCACATCCTCAGCCCCTATATGAGTGTGTGTGTATACACGTACATATATATATGTACATATATATATGTATATATAAATATGTATGTATATATATATGTGTATGTGTATATATGTATGTGTATATATATATGTATATATTTGATACTGAGGCTTGAACCCAAGAGTGCCTTTTTTATATTTTAGAGACAGGATCTTGCTCAGTTGCTAAGTGCCTTGCTAATCTGCTGAGGCTGGCTCTGAACTTTGCATTCTTCCTGCCTCAGCCTCCTGAGTTATAGGGATTGTGGGTGTGTACCACTGTGCCTGGCCTGAGTCTATTTTTTAAAAGAAATGGTTCCATCTTATTGGTTGAATGATCCTTAATATTTTGCTGCCTGCTACACGAATACAAATAAAAATTGTAGAAAAAGCAATGTTTTAGTTCAGAGTTCATTGGATATACTTTAAAAAATATATTGACTGTGAATTCCATAAAAGCCCTCCTGACATAAAAAAGATGAGTTATAACCAATTCAATGTTTATTATTAATATAGCTATTATATTATTTTAGACACAGTAGAGTTGCATTTTTAAAAAATATTTTCTTAGTTGTCAGTGGATGCTGAGAATCGAACCCAGTACCTAGCACATGCTAGGCAAGAGCCATAACACCAGTCATAGAGTTGCATTTTTATGGGCTTTCTTAGTCCATTGGAATATCTTCTAAAAGCTGTGTATATTGACTATTTGTACCTACCTATTTTATAAGAATTGGTAAAGCAAATATTTAGTAGTATTTTTGCTCTCATGACATACTCTATTTGTGGTTTTGGTTGAATTGATAAAGAACCATGATGGGAATGTAACATCCCTTTCCACGCAGCACATTTTGATAGTTTTTCTCCTTCTCCTCCTCCTCCTCCTCCTCCTCCTCTCCCTCCTCCTTCTCATCCTTCTTCTACCTCTTCCTCCTCCTCCTTCTATCCCTGCCGCATCTTTCTCCTCCTCATTGCCTTACTCATGCTAAACAAATGCTCTACCACTGAGCTATATCCCTGGCCCTAATACTTTTTAAAAAAGTTTTTTATTCTAATTTGTTATATATGACAGAAGAGTGCATTACAATTCATATTACACATACAGAGCACAATTTTTCATATCTCTGGTTGTATACAAAGTATATTTACACCATTCATGTCTTCATACATGTACTTAGGGTAATAATGTCCATCTCATTCCACCATCATTTTTACACCCCTTGCCTCCTTCTTTCTCCTCCTTCCCCTTTGCCCTATCTAGAGTTTGCTAATCTTCCCATGCTCTCCCTTCCAACCCCACTATGACTCAGCTTCCTTATATCAGAGAAAACATTCGGCATTTGGTTTTTTGGGATTGGCTAACTTCACTTAGCATTATCTTTTCCATCTCCATCTATTTACCTGAAAATGCCATGAGTTTATTCTTTCATTGCTGAGTAATATTCCATTGTGTATATATACCACATTTTCTTTATCCATTCATCTACTGAAGGGCATCTAGGTTGATTTCACAGTTCAGCTATTGTGAATTGTGCTGCTATAAACACTGATGTGGCTGTGTCCCTGTAGTATGCTGTTTTTAAGTTCTTTGGGTATAGACCCAGGAGTGGGACAGCTGGGTCAAATGGTGGTTCCATTCCCAGTTTTCCAAGGAATCTCCAGATTGGCTGCACCAATTTGCAGTCTCACCAGCAGTGTATGAATGTGCCTTTTTCCACACATCCCCGCCAACACTTATGGTTTGTGTTCTTAATAGTTTTCATTCTGACTGGAGTGAGGTGAAATCTTAGAGTAGTTTTGATTTGCATTTCTCTAATTGCTAGAGATGTTGAACATGTTTTCATATATTTGTTGATTGATTGTATATCACCTCTGAGAAGTGTCTGTTTAGTTCCTTGGTCTATTTATTGATTGGGTTATTTGGTTTTTTTTTTTTTTTGGTATTTGGATTTTTGAATTCTTTATGTACCCTAGAGATTAGTGCTCTATCTTTCTTTTGCTGAGAAGCAGGTTTTTAGTTTGAATCCATCTTATGTATTAATTCTTGATTTTAATTCTTGCACTCTAGGTGTCTTATTAAGGAAGTAGGGGCCTAAACCAATATGATGGAGATTTGGGCCGACTTTTTCTTCTGTTAGACACAGGGTCTCAGGTTTAATGAGTTTTGTGCATGGTGAGAGATAGGGGTTTAATTTCATTTTGTTGCATATGGATTTCCAGTTTTCCCAGCACCATTTGTTGAAGAGGCTATCCTTTCTCCAATGTAGGTTTTGGGCACCTTTGTCTAACATAAGATAACTGTAATTATATGGGTTAGTTTCTGTGTCCTCTATTCTGTACCATTGGTCTACCAGTCTATTTTGGTGCCAATACCATGCTGTTTTTGTTACTGTTGCTCTATAGAATAGTTTAAGTTCTGGTATAGTGATGCTACCTGCTTCATTCTTCTTGCTAAGGATTGCTTTAGCTATTATGGGTCTCTTATTTTTACAGATTAATTTCATGATAGCTTTTTCTATTTCTATGAGGAATGTCATTGGGATTTTGATTGGAATTGCATTAAATCTGTATAGTGCTTTTGGAAGTATGGTTATTTTGACAATATTAATTCTGCTTATCCAAGAGCAAGGGAGGTCTTCCCATCTTCTAAGATCTTTTTAAATTTATTTCTTTAGTGTTCTGTAGTTTTCGTTGTAAAGTTGTCTTTCACTTCTTTTGTTAAGTTGATTCCAAAGTATTTTATTTTATTTTTTTTGAGGCTATTGTAAATGGGGTAGTTTTCCTTATTTCCCTTTCAGAGTATTTGTCACTGATATACAGAAATGCCTTTGATTTATGGGTGTTGATTTTGTGTCCTGCTACTTTGCTGAATTCATTTACTAGTTCTAGTTTTCTGGTGGAATGTTTTGGGGTTTCTAGGTATAGAATCATATTGTCTGCAAATAGTGCTAATTTGAGTTCTTCTTTTCCTATCTGTATCCCTTTAAGTTCTTTCATCTAATTGCTCTGGCCAGTTTTTCAAGAACTATGTTAAATAGAAGTGGTGAGAGAAGGCATCCCTGTCTTGTTCCAGTTTTTAAAGGGAATGCTTTAAATTTTTCTCCATTTAGAATGATGTTGGCTTGGGGCTTAGCATAGGTAGCTTTTACAATGTTGAGATATATTACTGTGTGTCCCTAATTTTTCTAGTGTTTTGAACATAAAGGGATGCTGTATTTTATCAAATGCTTTTTCTGCATCTATTGTGATGATCATGTGGTTCTTATCTTTAAGTCTATTGATGTGATGAATTACATTTATTGATTTCCGTATGTTGATCTAACCTTGCATCCCTGGGATGAACCCCACTTGATCATGGTGCACTCATTTTGATATGTTTTTGTATTCGATTTGCCAGAATTTTATTGAGAATTTTTGCATCTATGTTCATTGGAGATATTGGTCTGAAGTTTTTTTTCTTTGATGTGTCTTTGTCTGGTTTTGGAATCAGGGTGATATTGGCCTCATAGAATGAGTTAGGAAGTGTTCCCTCCTTTTCTATATCCTGAAATAAATTGAAGAGTATTAGTATTAGTTCTTCTTTAAAGGTCTTGTAGAACCCTGCTCTGTATCCCTTTGGTCTTGGGCTTTTCTTGGTTGGTAGGCTTCTGATGACGTCCTCTATTTACTTGTTTGAAATTGATCTGTTTAAATTGTGTATATCATTCTGATTCAATTTGGGCAAAACATATGACTAGAAATTTGTAAATGCCATCGATATTTTCTATTTTTATTGGAGTACAAGCTTTCAAAATAATTTCTGATTATCTTCTTGTATTTCTGTACTGTCTTGTGATATTTCCTTTTTCATCACGTATGTTAGTAATTTCAGTTTTCTCTCTTCTTCTCTTTGTTAGCATGGCTAAGGGGTTGTCAATTTTATTTTTTCAAAGAACCAACTTTTTGTTTTGTCAATTTTTTCAATTGTTTCTTTTGTTTCAATTTCATTGAATTCAGCTTTAATTATTTCCTGTCTTCTGCTGCTTTTGGTGTTGATTTGTTCTTCTTTTTCTAGGGCTTTGAGATGTAATGTTAGGTCATTTATTTGTTGACTTTTTCTTCTTTGAAGGATTGAACTCCATGCAATGAACTTTGCTCTGGGTACTGCCTTCATAGTGTCCCAGAGATTTCGATACATTGAATCTGTGTTCTCATTCACCTC